TATCTATATCTATATCTATATCTGATGATACATGATTGCACAACCCATGAACTGTATGAAATAAACTCGTATCTTTTCGTGGTGTCGATGTCGCTGTTTTGTTGTCCATCTCCAGTGCTTATTTGTCGCAACCGCCAAGGATGCTGGTGGGAAGAAGCACGCTGATGGCGGTTGTGAGGCTTCTGGCCGGGTTTCCGGAAGTGAACACGGTAGTGAGGACTCTTCTTCGGATGTGGAGGCCGGGCCCTCTGCAGCACAGAGGTTGTTTGGAAGCAAGAAGAGCCAGCCGAAAGCGGCTCCGAAAACGAAACCCCACACAGCGCCCTCTGTCGCGGACAAGGTGCCAAAAGGCAAGGCCAAGAGCAACACCAAAGTGACGAAGGAGCCACGTGGCCAGAGCGATCAGCCTCCGAGGCGGGTGTCAACAGGGTCGGAGCCATCCGCCGCTCCAAAGATGCTGTCGCTTACTTCAAACTCAAGCTTGGAGGCGAGTTCCACAGGAGGCGTAGTCTCAGAGATACTTCTCGCAGATGGTCGTGCAAAGAGGGCCTACAACACCTTGAAAGCCAAAGCCGACGAGTACTTGGACACTCTGGGCAAAATTCAGGTGGATGATGCCATCCCGGATGCCCACCAGCGAGCATCTTGGAAAAATAGCCTGATGCAAAGGACGGTCCAGTTGAAAACCATTGTGAAAGGCAGCAAAGACCTCGTCCGCAGAACCTTGAAGAGCGCCAACAAGGACTCTTTCGGGGAGCCGTTGCAGCGACTGGAGCAGATTGAGGTAGCTGCGCAGTCCCTGGAGAAGTTGTTCAACACCGCCAGCGCAGATCAGCCAGATCCAGAGCAGATGGTCGAGGCTTACGACTCCTGCGGGCAGAGCTTGATGTCATTGTTGAAGTCATTCACGGCCTTGGGCCCAGTTTTCCGATTGAAGTACATCTTGGCCAAAGGCAACCTTCATTGCCTGTACCAAGAGTACGACAAGTTTAGCCGGCTTTTCTTGTGGAGGGGGGATGAATTGGAGGAGATGGAAAGCTTCAGTGGGGTGTTGGGCCAAGACATGCTGAAGCAGCATGTCGTAACAGAGGTGGAGAATCGAGTCATCCTTGCCTTGCGAGGAGCGCAGCAGCCGGAACTTCAGAGCTTCGCTTCTGCGGGCACGTTGGATGGAGGCTTGCTTGAGGCCTACTCCCTCTCTGCGGCTTTGATCGCTTGTGAAGAGGCGGAAGGAACAAACTTCATCCCGACGGACTTGCTCGGGGACCTTGCCATGGTGCAGAGCATCTTGACACTCGGTGCGCAGGACTTGAAGCATCTTGCAGAGACGACAGCGACGCTGCACAGCTTGCAAGAAAAGCTAGAGTCCAAGGCGGCCGCGGACTCTGAGGAGGCCGACACCAAGTCTTCAGCCATTCCTCGCTTCTTTGTCCAGCATGCTGCTGGGAAGATTCTGATGGATGTGGCCTGTGGCCGGGTTGAGGCCGGCAAGAAGGAAACAGATGCCGAATGTGCTGTGAGCGCTTTCCAAGAGGCCGTCCAAGCATTGCCTGTGACACACCCTCGGTTGCTCGACGACATCTTCGTTCCCGCCATCGCCAAGTACCAGGCCGCCTTCAAACTGTGCCAGGACTTGAAGAAAAAGCACGGCAAGGACAAGGGCCTGGCGGCCGTTTCCGAAAAGCAGCGTGCGACTTTGGAAAATGCCAAGACGACCTTCCTTGAGCACGTGGAGAAGAGCAGTGTCACCTACTTGCGGGAACAGTTCCGGCCTGTCCTGTTGCTTGCCTGCAATCGGCCTGTAGAATGTAAAGAACCTGAATATGTCAAGCCTCCCTATCACCAATTGCCGACTGTGTCATGTTTCTAATCGTCGACCATAAGCCAAAACGTAGCCTGAGACCCAGCCCTGAAGCTCTTAAGGACCTAAAGCTCTATCAAGCTCTAAGTCTTTAAGCAAATACGCAGCCTTCATTAACCTGTAGCCCCTCACACCTTGAGCGTCAGGCCTAAGCCTAAGACTACTGAACCATAAAGCAGTTGAGCACATTGGAGACAGCAGCATCGAGACCGAGTCTCTTAAAAGCAGCATCCAGCAGGTATTGAGGAAATCGTCCTGCACCTTACAATTACAATCTTACCACCTTATACTCATTATTAGGACCTCCTTAACCTTGGCAACGTGCCAAAATTTTACCATCTCGTCAGTCCTGTTTTTATCAGCGAAGAAAGAATTCTTATAGCCGGATTGTCGGCCTTTGGCCTAGTTTTCGTTACATCCCGGGCTTGCTCTGGATTTTAGGGCCTTACAGGCTTAAGGAATTCGAGTTTCGGCTTCACTGCCATATGAGGGTTTCGGTCTTAAAAGGTTTATGTGGTTTGTTTAGGGATTTAGGGCTTAGGGCTGAGGGCCTAGGGCTCAGGCTTCAGGGCTTTAGGGTTAGGGTTTCGGTTCTAAGGCTTTTTTTAGGGTTATTTGGGTTTAAGCGCTTAGGGCTTAGAGTGTGGGGTTTGAGTTTAAGGTTTAAGCGGGTATTCGCAAAATTCATGGGTTTAGTTTAGTGTTTAAGGCGTTTGCGGCCTAGGATGTTTGTAGGGGCATGTTTGCAAGTTTCCCCCAGCCGCGTTGAATTTCTGGTTTCACGGCGAAGGCAAGTTGGGGGGTGGTGAAGACATCAGTCTTTGTTCGAGGAGTTTGAGGAGTTGGGCGTTTCGCTTCAAGGGGTCTGTGGCGACCCAGTCGCGAAGCCTCATCCTACTAGAGTCCTAGAGCTCCTCAGTCCAAACATCGGCTGAAATTGAAGATGATTGTAGGTTGTTTGGCGTGTTTTTTTGACATACCGTTGGCTAATAGATATTTTTACAAAGGCTCCTGGGGGCTAACCGTCGGTCAACTTGTACAGCCTATAGGGTAGGTACCAGTGTATCTTGTTTAGTGCAACATGCAATATGCACGACAGGTTCTGCGTCTGCGAGGCGTTGGAGAATGATGGCAAGGTGTCCCACGGCGAAGCTGATGCAAAGAGCATGCACATGCTGAGCTTGGAGGAGACATGGCCTTTGGCCAAGCAGACCGCCTTCGTCACGCACACCGTGTGGAAAGACTTGCCTGGGAAGGCAGACTTCTTGGCTCGGTACGAGAAGTTCGTCGGGGCTTTCTGCAACATGGCAGAATACTTGTTCCGTCAGCTCCCGTCGTTCCAGCACCTGCCCAAAGCACAGCCCGCGGCCGCTTCCATGCGGTACTGGGCCAACAAGTTACCGCAAGACCTGCAGGAGTGGGTCGTGGAGAAAGACGCCGTGGAGGTGGCCAACAAGACTTGCTTCCAGCGGTGTGCCGAGCTCTTCCAGGCAGCTTTCTCCGCAGGGTTGACAGCAGTGGCCCAGGTCGTAGCCCAAGCGAAGACGGGGGACACCCCGCTTACCCAGCAGAGCGTGGACGAGCTCCTGAGCAAGCTCCCATCTGATCATGCCCTTCGTGGGTTGTGCGTCGCTTTCTTCCAGGCACGTCTTCCTTCTTTAGCGTTTTGGGTTGGGTTCTGCGTCGCCTCAGTGTCTGCGGGGTATTTGGTATTTGTACTTTAACTTTAACAGTTGTGCACAAATCACAAAGCCACGGCGGGTGTCGATGACTAGGAAACTTTACCCCGATCCGGCTCGACATGTGTCTACCCAAATTTAGTTCCCCCCAGGCCAAAAGCCGAAAGCAACTTTACCGATTTCTCCGATTTGACATGTGTTTTCAGATTTTGGGGATTTTGGGGTATTCCAATCCAAGCAAAGGCCTTTCCCTCCCTCAGGCAAAACTGTTTTTACCCCCATTGCAAGTCTACGCCAGACTTTACCCGGAACTTTACCCCATTCCGTTTTGACACATGTCTTAGTCTTAGTCATGTCTTGATAATTTGATATTCCCAGCCACTTCGGGCAAGAACAAATTTCAAATTTACACCAATCCGGTTCGATATTTTTCGCCCGACAGTGTGATCTCGTGGGAGCTTGGGGCCGCTTGCAACAGATCCATTCTGCCAGGTCGTCCTCTGCAACCCGGCCCAGAAAGACTCGAAAGACATCGTGGACTTGAAGCTTTGTGCGACATCCTTGCAGGACATGGGCTCCAAGCTGCAGGAAGTGAGAGGCAAGTTGTCGAGGGATGCGACTATCGCAGACGACCTCAAGTGCAGCCAGCTGGACAGTGTGGACGATTGGCTAGTGTCCGTCTCCAACAATGTCTTGACTCGTGTGAAACCGGTTTTGAGTCAGGGCTTGGCCCGGGTGAAAGCGGTTTCAACTGACCTCGGAAAGTTTCTGGAGAAATTGCGAGACTTCAGCGACGAGGTTGCGTTTCGAGACTCTGGCGTCAAGGTCGTGCAGAAGATGGCAGGCCTCGTGGCCAAGTTGGAACAATCTTTGTCTTCAGTGAGAGAGAACCTGGACACGGCAGGGGCTGTGATGCAGCTGCGGTTTTCAGCCCAGGCCCCCGACTCCGATCTTTGCGAGAGTTGCAAAGTGGAAGTGCAAAGCGCCCAGCAGGAGCTGGAGAACGGCGGCTTGGCGTCTGCCCGGGCAGGCACTGTCGTGGCCCTCGTCGCCAACCTTTGCCTGCTGCGAAGCCCGGATCTATCAAAGCCCTCACCGACGCCCCAAAGTTTGAAGCAACTTGGCGATGTGGTGACGACGCTGGAGGGGAAGCTCGGCAAGTTCGACGAGATGGCAAAGATCGATGACTATGATGAGGCTCTGAAGTCGTTCGGGGAGCGCATTGTGACCGAATCCAACACGTTGCTGGCACAGCAGACGCCCGCCAAGGGCAAGAAACGGAAGGCAGAAGAGACCCAGAGTGTGGAGCACATGGAGGTCTCGGAGGATGCCGACGACGACAAGAAGAAGAAGACCAAGGATCCTAAGACTAAGGCCAAGGGCAAGAACGGCGAGGTGCAGCCGAAGCCGAAGAAGGAACCCAAGGCTAAGGCCAAGGCCAAAACAACGGGCCAGGCGAAAGTGAAGAAGTAGCGCTTTGAGTCTTTGAGTCTCTTCAGGCTAGCAGATCAGATCGATCTCGCGCTTGTGCCTTGAACTTGTGAGTTCCGGCTCACGTGTCGTTGTGCTTTTGTTTGGGGTAGGTGGTGCCTGCAGCTCTTGGCTTTGAGCCGGGTGTTCATGTTTTTTTATGGCATTCAGACTCACAGCCAAGTTTAGGACTACAAAGCCTTAGCCGAGCCTGAGCCTCAGACTTTAGAAGTATGCCGAAACTCATGCTTGTGCCGGGCTTAACCACCATCTCAAGCTTCCCTTGTACCGGTGTGGAGTCCTGCGCCCTGGGCTGCCAGAAAAGCCGCGTCCGCCGTTTGCTTTGCACTTGCAGTCGCACGCAACACGTAGCATGGCATGAGTCTCAAAGTGTGTCTTCGGCAACTGCCGCCCTTGGAAGGCTCAGATCTGCATTGGCATTGGTGCACATCAAGTAGCACTGCAGCTGAACAAACTGTTCCAATCATTGTAGCCTTGTAGCAGAGTTTAAAGTTTTATTAAAGATTTTTTAAAGTTCCAACTGCAGTCTGTGATCTGTGCAGGCGGTATAGGTGGGGTATAATGCAACATCTATTCTATAGAGCAAGTGAACTGTGCAACGATTTGAGCCAGTTGACTGCCATAGCAGGATCCGCTGAACCAGCCGACTCAGGTTGCAAAGCCCAGCAGACTCAGCAGGTCGACATGCCACCCGAGCCTGAGCGCAAGAAGCCGCGGACCATAGGCAAAAAGGACTCGTGCGATGAGCCTGTCCTCATGGTCGAGGCCTCGCGCCGGGTCGTGGCAGCTGAGCATATTCAAGACGGCACCTTGCTCCACCGGCTGGCACTCGAGAACTTGGAAAAGTTCAAGGCTTTGCAGCCGGGTGCACCTTTGGGTTGTGGGCAAGGCCGTCAGGCTCCGCATCCGATGGTGTTGACGTGGGCATCGGCGTGCTCGGGATCAGAGGGGATGTACTACGTAGCAGAAGCGATCAATGCGGCCTACGCATGCTCGGATGTGCCAGTGAAGCTGAAGCACGTCTTTAGTTGCGAGAGTCACTTGGTCTGAACATGTCTCATGTCTGCCTGTCCTGCATTCATGTGTATTGATTGTGCAGTTGTCATGTTTTGATGTGCTCGTTCCAAATGGGGGGGAGGGGAGAGGGGAGAGAGGAGAGGGAGAGAGGAGAGGGGAGAGAGGAGAGGGGAGAGAGGAGAGAGGAGAGAGGAGATGGGGGAGGGGGGAGAGAGGGGAGAGGAGGGGAGGGGAGGGGCGGGTGGGAGGGAGTGAGCGGCATGACCGGTCTTCCCTCTGCCGGCGCGCAGCTTTTCTATCGTCATGTATAATTAGTATAATGTATAATGTTGAGGTTACCCTAAACCCTAAGCCCTAAACTCTAAACTTTAAACTTTAAACTAAACACCCTAAACTTAAGGCCCTAAACCGCCTAAACCTTATAAGCATTATTATTGTTCCCTTCATTTACGATCTCAGGTGCAGCTGAGAAGCAGAAGTGGATCCAGGCTATCTTGTCTGTGGGCCCTTTGCGCGAGCCCACCTCTGATTCGTGGCCTCCTCCTCTGGAAGTCTGGGGCGGCGAGGATGACGGTGGGGAGGGCCATTGTCTGTTCTCAGACATCCTAGAGTTGTTTCAAGTGCAAGCAAAGTGCTGCAGGCACAAGAAGGGCTGCGACGTCCCTTCCGTAGACTTACTGGTCGTGGGTACCTCTTGTAAGGATGTTAGTAAAATGAACACTGGTGTAGATCGCTCGGCTCCAGTTTTCAAGCAGGCTTCAAGCCGGGGAGGTTCCGCTCAAACATTTCAAGGCCTTTTAGGCTACGTCCAAAGTCACCGGCCGCTGTGCATCGTCTACGAGAACGTGGATACCATCAGTGACCAGCCCAGTTCCGCTGAAGAAAGCAATCTCAAGGTGCTACTTGGGAAGTTCGAGTCGTTAGGGTACGAAGGACAGCCTGTCATGACAGATGCATGTGAGTTTGGCCTGCCGTGCCATCGCCACAGAGTGTATGTGTTCCTCGTGAACAAGCGCAGCCCCAAACTTTGCTTGCTTAGCCGACCCCTTGCCGACATCATGCATGTGTTTCGCCAGCTTGTGAGCAGTTGCACTCGTTCGCCACCTTGTTTTTCAGCAGTGCTGTTGCCAAACGACCACCCAGCTGTTAAGCTGAGCTTGGAAGAGCGGCAGGCACGCGCAGAGAAGAGCCAGAGTAGTAAGAGTAAGAGCTCCAAGCAAGGCCCTGACAACTGGGTCAACTTGCACATGAAGTTCGCAGACTCGCTGCAAGTGAGGTGGGGCTCAGCGCCGGGTTCAGAATTGCAAAGCAATCCACATTTTCAGGTTCTCACCAGGCGTGAGGCCGATGCTCTCACGTTGTCAGAGGTGGAGTCACCGAATGCTGGGTTCAGAAACCTGTCGCAAAGTGTCGGTCGCATTAATTTCAACAGCTTGCGGGATGATGGCACGCATCTGGGGCCCACTATGTTGCCAGGGCAGCTCTTGTGGACAACCCTCGCCAAGCCGCATCGCCTGCTCACCGGATATGAGGCGATGTTAATGCAGGGCTTCCCCATCGAATCCTGCATAGAAAGGCTTGATCAGGAAGCGTACGTCGTGAGAGCATCGCAAGCGACGTCGAAGGAAAAAGCCTTTCCCACAGACGCGCTGCTTCAAGAGCTCGCTGGCAACGCGATGGCACTGCCAGTCCTCCTGGCTTTCGCTCAGTCAGGTTTGGCGGCCGTGTGGCTGCGGGCCCCCGAGATGGAGTCCAACGCATCTTCCGTGGAAGTGGCCTTGGACGCCATGTTGCTGATGAGTGGAGGCCTCGGGCCGGGTGCGCTGAGTGCGCCGGAAGATGAAGACGAAGACGAGGAGTAGGGCTTTCCTCGCGACACTCGTACATCTTGGCATTCAGGATCTTAGTGCACAGGTTGTCCCGAGATTTTGATTCTTGATTCTTCGCAGATCATTTGAAGCTTCTCCTTGTGAGCCAAAAAAGACGTCAAGTGCTGGTCAGGGGAAAGGGTCATCGAGCCATGCCTCAGCAAAGGTTTGAAGTTTGCAGTAGATTCTTGAGAAGGCATTCCAGAACATGGGGCATGAGGCTATGAGTCTGAAGTATGGGTTAAGAATAAAAAGTTGCATGATGTAAGTACGGATAGCGATGAATGACCAATAGGAAGGTTGGCAGAGTGTGTTTGGTCTTTGGCGTTGGAGTCATTGAGCTGTAACAGCTACAATGTGCTTGGCTAGCCAGAAAAGTGATTGCCCCCGTTGCCCGACTACAACATACTTCAGCAGCAGAACCAGTAGTTAAGCACCTTTCGTACGAATTGTTGTAAAGATGTTGAAAGTTGAAACAGTTGTCGTAACAATAGTTGTAAGGATTAAAACTTAAAACAATTGTGGTCACAATTGTTGTAACAATTAAACAATTGTATTAACATTTGTTGTATCAATTAAACAATTGTCGTAACAATTGTTGTAACAATTGCTGTAACAATTAAACTAAAATTAAACAATTGTCGTAACAATTGTTGTAAGAATCAAACAATTGTCGTAACAATTGTTGTAAGAATTAAAGAATTAAACAATTGCCATAACAATTGTCCGGAACTGGAAACAATTGCCGTGGCCTCTGTGGGTCCTGGTTTAGCACCGAGGGCTCTAAAAACGCCTAATGTAAACCCATTTTTTTGCATTTTCCTATGGGAAATTGCAAAAAAAATGGGTCCGGAAATGCAAAAACTGGTTTCGGACCCATTTTTTTGCATTTTCGGACCCATTTTTTTTGCATTTTCGGGCCCATCTTTTTTTGCATTTTCGGACCCATTTTTTTCGCAAATTTTTCGCAATAATATTATTTTGCACAATTCTTAGAGTTAGGCAGACAGCCGGCTTCACAAAGATAGATCACAGCCCAACCCGGCCTATCAGGTTTCATCCTTTGGAGAAGGGGTGTCCCGATTTGTCTACTCGAGGGAAGCAGACCTAGAGTCCCATGCACTCCCAGAATTGCCAGAGTTCGCCCAAGAACCTCAGCCCAGCCACCAGCCTGGGCCGACAGCCGCGCAGATCCCAGAGGACGACACAGAGGCACTCCTGGTGGAGAAATTCGCCAACCAGGCCCACAGTTCGTCAGAGTCCGAGGACGAGCCAAAGGAGGCCCAGAAACCTCAGCTCTCAACGTTCAGCTTATTTCGCAACGGCCCATGGGGGGTGATTCACACTTGTCGCCAAGGGGA